TCTCTAATAAAATAATAATAATAATAATAATAATAATAATAATAATAATAATAATAATAATAACAATAATAATAATAATAACCTTACAAATACTCAATTGGTAACACATGATAAGAATTGCAAATATCCAAAAACTAAATAATAAAAATAACCATGCATACATACACACATATATATATATAAAGGTTAGAATAAAAGTAGACAAACCAAATACCTTTTTTTGGACAGAGGCTGGCATAAAACTTAATTAGGCCAAAACTGTACATTCCATTTTAAAAAAACATGTGGCATGATTACCTTCATTCTTGAACTCTTTTGGTTGGCACCATCCCTTTTGCTTCTTCTTTTTCTTCATTCTTGGATGTGCAATCTTATCAGCTTGTAAGGCAACCAAAAAAAAAAAAAAAATCGAAGATAAAAAGGGACTGCACATGTGGAAGCACTTTACAGGATAAGACTGCATATCATGACATAATATGTACAATTGGCAAATTATGGGCACTGAATGCAAAATTATAATGCAACTACAAATTTGAAAATTAAGAAGTGCAACATGACACTACAACAACCAACATACATCACTCAAAGCTACCCTTGCCAAGCTTCCTTTCGAGTATGTACATAGACTTGACAATGTTAGTAATACTCATATTCTCAGGAATTTAACACTCAACATGTGCCCCTTGGATTACATAGCTTTTTATGACATGGTTTGCATAGAAAAGATATTTATTTTAGTTTCAATTATATAAAGGTGTAAAAATGACTCAATAATTTTTATAACTTGAAATTTATTATAGAAACTTAACGGTACTCTTACCCTCTAGCCAACAAGTGTTAATTTTTCTTTTGTGCAAAAAATTTATTATATATTATTTGTAAAAAAAACTTATTTATGACATCATTCGGTTAGATTAACAATCTAATTGGTTCGCCTAGTTCAATCAAAATCAAAAATCAAGGTAGATTGACTTCTGATTTAGGTTTAAAACATTGATAAGAACATCAACTGGAAACCAGTCACCAAGGAGGCCGAGAATAAAATGGCAATGGCGCTTATTGATGTTGATTTAAATTGATAAAAGCGTCTATGGGACCAAGCTAAAACTTAAATTTGAATAAAAATTTGTATAAAACTATATTAATTTAATTATTTGTAATAAATTTCTTTAAATGCAATCTTACAATTAGTCATATGACATTTATTAAGATCATTAATTTAATTAATTAATACTGAATAACTTGACTAACTCTTATTTGCACATGCCAACACATTTACCACTATATTGATTTGTATCCTCATGACTTCCTACTCATAAAAACTTAACGAACTTCTGATGCTTCTTCCCTGAGATATCCCTCCTTTAAGTTTAGAAAGTAGAGACGAAGGAATTCAAATGCATATATTGAATGCTAGAATGGTCCCTTGAACGACATTACATGGCAGTATAACGAAATGGGATCAAACAATTTGTCCCACAACATGTCCTTGAAAGTATAAAAGGTAACTGAATCCATTACAAAAATTACAATTGAGAAATATAATCCAAATACTTCCTCTCTGCTTTTATTATATAAGGTATAAGAGATATCTTAACCTATTACAAAAATTACAATTGAGAAATATAATCCAAATACTTCCTCTCCTTAGAGATATTCCCTTCCATCAAAATCCTTTCTCAAGATCTATTGTCCGTATACCTCACATGCATTTAAACATTCAACAGGATGTGTTATCCAGCCCACAAAAAAAGAAAAAACACTTGACACATTCTCAACTTTTGCCTTAATCCACAGCTAAGAATTTACCTGCTACATTTGAATAATTTTATCCACTTTTACCTCTTGATGCTCAAAATTTTTCTTGTTACGTGCATTACAAATAGCCCAAGTTAACACAAACCATAACAGCATCCTGTAGAAATCTTCCCTTGCATGAGTTTATCAGAGGACTAGATATCCTTCACCAATTCACCATCCACAGCATCTACGCCATATCCCACAACAACCGGTTCTAGCGCTGATGTGACTCACACCTTATTCGATTGGCAGGAAGGCCATTATTAACTTGTCATGAGCCTCCATTCCACATTGAGAACTGATTTTAGGTTAGTTGCTCTACCTCTTCTATGTCATCCTTTGCCTACCACTTTAAAGCTTTAATAGGGCGACCAGAGTTAAGCGCACAAAGTAACATCAAACCATAGGGAGCGCCTACAGTTTGAAGCTGCAAACAAATTAAAGCCAACAAAAATGAAAAATGAAAAAGTTGATTAATACAAGGTTATTGCAAAAGAAAAGAAAAACCCGCTTCTTCTCACATATATTTATATTGAAGAAAACACTAACTTGTGCAAATTAATGTTGGAGAGAAGTACTTACATGGCATGATGAAGGATGGAATAAGTGTTTGGTAAATCATTAATTCGATGTTAGCAATACATCTTCAAAAGTATTGTAATTTGACATAACTTGTCTTTCATTAAAATTAGTGAAATGACTTCCATTGATACCCATAGCCGAAAACTCACACATATTGGAATAAGAAGCTCATCGCCAACAGCAACTTTAATCATATGAATAAGAGGGAACAGAGGTTTGAAATAAGGAGAATTCAAAGAGAGGAGAGGATGATTCTTTGTTAGAAGAAAGGGTTGAAATTGGGACAAATATACACAAGTTGAGGATGCTTTGGCTATTAATATAAAAGAGAAAGTGAATCACAATAGATTTTACCTTCTTTAATTATCCGAGTACGATCCGGCGCGATCATCCTCATGGTATGAGTATACTTTTGTACTATTATAATATTTTTTTTATTAAGAAACAAAAAGTATAAATAGAAACAAATCATCTATTTTTTATTGTATAACATTAACTTTCAGTTAAAAAATACTTACGTGACAAACAAAATTCTGACGTCATACATTAAAAAATGATAATTTGTTTTGATTTATAATTTAGAAGAACAATTTGTCCCTACATTCCTTTAACGGGCGAATTTGTCTCTATCTCTATTTGAGAGGTGGATTTAAGGGTTTTACCTGTCTGAATTGATATGTATATTTGTGAGATTTTGATGGATGTCAATTAGAATTTTATCTATATCAACTCCATTTACAAATGCAATTGATATATAAATTTCTAAAATTCTTTAAAAAGTATTGATTATGCATATGAATTGTATATATTGTTGTTTTCTTGAAAAATATTCCTAGATGTTAAGATAGATGGAAACCACAAGCATCATAAGTAAATTAACAAAGATGGTGGTTGAGAGCATGATAAAATATTTGGAGATAATGTAGGAAATCACTTCTTTGTAATTAAAGCCTCTATTATGGAAAGATTACGAAAAATCTATTGAGATTTTTCGCAATCTGAGACATTATTGCTATCATAGTAAACTATCAAATAGAAGGAAATTTTATAGCTACTCAATCCATCCCAAAATAATTGACTTTTTTATTTATTTAAATTTTGTCCAAAAAATATTCATTTTTTCATATAAATAGAGACAAATATTTTTTGCTTACTTTAAC